TGCACACACTCACACCACGGCCAACGTTCTCAGGAGCCAATTAACCAACAGTATCAGTATGTTAGAGTGAGTATCTAATGCACAATGACGTGATGTGGATATTTGACTTTTCATTCTCAACATGGACAATTTTGTTCTGTGTGAAGGCCCATGTTTTTGCTGTAAAGTTATTAGCCAAGGGCAGTATGGTGGTGCAGTGGTTAGCACTACTGCCTTGCGATGCCTGGGGCCCTCTGATAAATTCTGGGTGCTATCTGCATCAAGTGTGTATGTTCTCCCCGTGTTTGGCTGTTTTTCCTCCAAGTGCGCCAGTTTTCTCCTCCAGTCCAAATACTGGCAGTTTAATTGACCTGGAACATAAAGGGCCCTGGTGTGAGTGTGTTCTGTACTTCTCCGTATTTGTGTCCCACCCATGGTGTATCCTGCCCTGCGCCAGTTGCTTGTCAGTATAGACTCTGACTCCTCTGTGAGCCTAAATTAGATTAAGTGCTTAGAAAATGTATGATGGGTGAACTCACAAGCATATTTGATACAACACAAATTTTATTCTATATTTTATTACAATATTTGAGAAATATTTTAATACACATACAGTAAATATAAGGGATATACTGTAGGACCATAGAGTAAGTGTTTTCAGTGCCTGTATACAGTGTAATTATATACTTTTAATCCTTTTTTCACAATTTTTTAAAGCACTTAAAAAATGGATGGATGATTAGTTTTGCAAAAGATTTGTTACCCTCAGCAAACTCATTGCATTATTTCTATTAGGAATAAAACCTCTTAGAGATTTATTTTTTATTTAATCTTTAAAGATTATTAATTTTGATTTTCTTCACAATTCTTTAACATAGCAACATTAAGTAATGTTGACCACCATTTTCTGGGAATCATGTGCCTATTAATTCTGGGGGAAAAAAATCCAAGAGCATAGAATTCTCACAAACAAGCTTCCTAAAAATATGTTAAGGAGAAAGTTCAACCTGACAACACACAAAGTCTGGACCAAAAGTCTGGTCTTGAGCTATCCAAAGAATTTATATTTTTAAAACAAATGTTTACACAAAAAGTATTTCTTAATTCCATTTCATAATATACTACATGAAAGCTGCTAGAAAATGCACAAAGAAAGGCAATTTATTTAATGCACTTAAATAAAAAAGCATTAGCTCCTGGCATTCAGCCATGGTATGCTATTAAATTAGTACCTTTAATCAGCTGTATCTTTCTTAGAATTGCTTGATCCTTTAGGAATAGCTTAAGCAATTCCCTGTTGTTTCTTTTTAGAGTGATATTTGCAACGATAAATTAAAAAAAAAAACAGTCTCTAAAAGAACCCTTCAAATCCACATGCTGACTAGTGCTGAGAATCATATTAATACATATTCATGTTATGGTAATGTTTGGGAATTCCATATGAAACAATCAGCTTTGCAGTACCATTTGCAGAGACCAGCAACTTAATACTGTCAGCGTACAGTGAAAATACAATGCTAATGAAACAGGAAACAAATATTTGAAGGACTAAAGCTGTCGGCATATGAAAAAAAAAAAGTTAAAAGTGTATGGCTGTTTATCTTTCTGTCAATATGCACTAAATAATATATACAGGGCTACTATTCCCTAGTTATCACAAAACATGCAAATGCTGGGGAAGAATAAAAAAAAATACATTAGAAAAAAAAACTGAAAAAAACACAGTGATCTGATCATTTCAGATATTCTTGAAATGTCACTACAAGCTATAGCATTCAGAAACTCTCAGACTGGCAAAACAATCATTCCTGTAATCTGTTTAGAATAATCTGCTTTATGGGCAGATGAGTATATTGACCATAATCCAGTATCTGGTCTCTTTTTGTCATCCACTGAGATTATATATTTTTTAGAGCTTTTGGTAAACAGAAAAGAATGATGTGAGTTCAGTAGTTCACAAAGAATTTAAAGGTCCTGACACGAAAATATATTGCTAAGCAATTTCAGAGTGTTCCTGGTGGTGAAATTATTTTAATTGCTAGTGAAAAAAGAACAGAGATGATGGACATCACAGTACAGTGCATTTTCTTTCTGTTGCCCTCAATTTACAGATTTGTTGAATCGTCCGGTTTGATCTAAGGCCAGTCAAAGACTTCGTGTGCATTTCCTTGTGTGACTTTTCAACACATCATTGTTCTAGTTCAGTTTCTTGATTTACACCTTTGAATAGAAATAATGTGGTTTGTCCTATGTTCATAATCCAAAATAAAAACTGTAAAGCCTACAAAGCATCAATAGTGCTACATGTCTTTTTCTTATTGATTCTGTGGTCACTTCGCTTGCAAGGAACACTTTTCTTGTGAAGAAAATATTGCCACTTACAATTCATTTACAGTACATAGAAATCCAACCAGAAAGAATTTAACAAATAATCTCATCGAGAGTGCATGGTTTTCAATGCTCTATGTATGAACAGTACATCTATTCAAAGAGTTAAATTCAGTGTATTTCTATAAATGGGATGTCCAAATGCATTTATCCCAGGGTAATTAGTATTTTGACTTTGTGTTCTGATGATGCCAGATTTTTCTGAAGACAGCTAATCATTCCTCCCTGCATTCCAAATCACTTTTCCAACCTCAAGCTTGGGTAAAATATCCTTATGTCCTTTTCCTGACAGGGTAGCAACCATCCCATGACCCTTGATCTCTTTAATGATGATCATCTTGGTTGAAACTGTGATGTCCTATGTGTTTTTTTAGTCATTTTTTTAGTTGTTGAGGTTGGTAATCTTTCACTTCATATCTTTGGAGTATTCTTTGTGTTTCTTCAAGATGGCATATGGAGTTTCTTGCTTCTGTGTCCAGCCTCCTTTAACTCTTAGTGACAACCAAGATGACATCCACAAGTTTATGTCATGTTATTAGGCTTTCACTCATTCATTCCAGAACACATTTTTGTACTTTTCTAACACTTTAATTAATAAATGTTCAAAACCTGTGTATAGTTAAAAGCTTTCAGCTGCAGTCAGTCAAGAGCAAGATTAGTTATGGAGGCAATTGTCTGTAGTCATACCTGCCAAGGCTGAAGAGTTTGAGATAATGATTTCAGTCCCGAAGAAATACTGTACTTGTGAATACATGACCACAGCTCACATGACATTAATTCAAACAGTTTGCCTATAATCTGTGTCAGCGTATAAATATTTGTATTTACCTGTATGTGAATTAAATAAAATCTAAAACAATAATTCTATGTGAGGGTTAAAAGGAAATAATCAGGACTTTAACAAGTACTGTGGGTATGTTAATTGTAATACATCTACTCACTTAATTTCTTAATTTTTCCCCAATACTCAAAAGAATTAGATATTAATGATACCACTCAACCTGTGTGGTGTTTTCAAAATCTCTCTCAAAAATGCTTTTCCTTGTTGACAGGTTTTTCCTGTAAACCTCCTGCTACTAATTAGGTCTGTCTGAAGACCAATAAAATACAATACATTTTAACTGGATATATTCAAGCTGCCTCTAACTAAATTAGACAGTAATAATTTTACTGTCTAATTTATTTAGACAGTACTAGCATAAAGTTTGTTTGAAAAAAACAAAACATTCTCAATCCAATTAAACTGTTAAATTGGTCTGAAATGACTGTTTTATGTTCAATAACCAAAACATTTAAAGAAAATAATTGATAATTGCATAATAACTATAATTTGTATAAACACTTTCCCAAAGACGACTTGAGTATTCAATTTAAGATTATATCTCAAAATAACCTTAGTGCCATAAAGGTAGGGAAAGAGTCATATCATTCAATTTGTGCAAAGAAATTGATAAGAGCTACAATCTGACTTTTATAAGGCATCACATTGGATATCATATCATAAGGAGTGAAAATGGATTTCTTCTGCTTACTCTTTAAAGATTGTTTTTATCAGAACCTGTGTGTAGCAACACAGAAAAGGGAAAAAAAACCCTCCTGGCTATAGAACCTACTGTAGACAGATGATCTGAACAAAACTGAACAGACATTGAAGTACAATCCTTGAATGACACCTTCTTTCTGCATGATTTCATTTTTCAATGCTGTTATATCACACACCAAAAAATGATGGCCACTCCAATATCCAAAAGTAGTTCTAATGAAGTACTGTAGTTCCTAGATATGATAAAGCAGATTACTGATAGGTGATATTAGATGTGCTAATTTTAATCTAATGAATTATGCAGAGTGGAAGCAAGTGTTCTAATTTTCATAGTTTAGACTCATCCATTGTTTCCTTTACTATAACATATTGGTGTAACAATAAGGAAATCCATTTTCTTGAATTTTGGAATTGAGAAATTTGTGAGAATCCATTTAAACTCAAATAGACAACAAACTGCATATTATTTTGATTCCTCACAGCAAATTAACCACTTGTTTTTTACTATTGCTATCTAATTACATTATATCCTTTAATGCAACTAGGTTTCTTTTTTGTATGCATTACAAAATACCAAGGCCAGCATTACCAAATTAAAAAAATAAACAAATTATTTGCACTTACACATCAGAAAATATACATTTCATTCAATTTGATTGTTAAATATTTCAACTGGAGCCATGTCATACCTGTGCATACTGTATAAAGAGTGTTTCAGACAGAACTGGTGGCCTTCTGGAGTTTCTGTAGGTTACTGTGACTTACCTTTTGATAGTATGCTTTTCCATTGAGCGGTCACAACAGAAGATTGCAATTTCAATTGACTTAGTCTTACAAGTTAAGATCTTGCATTCTGTCTTGCTATTTTTGAGACTGGTGTCTTGAACGCATGTGAACATCATAAAACTATGACTGTCAGTAGTCTATAAAAGATAAAAGTCTATACTGTAATAAAATTGGAATTTATTAAACCCACCCATCCTGATCCATCAAGATATCAGCTGACTGTGCCCTTTCCCCTTTACAGAGGAGCTCACTGTTGCTGACGGACGATACTTAGGGATCAATAAAGTCTTATCTATCTCCTCACCTCAGACGTTCCTTCTCTTTCTTACGAAGCCTCATGTCTCTGTGGACCACCTGCAGCACATGCTCAGCCTCCTCTTCCGTCAGGCCTGAAAGATCCAGCTTTCTTCCCATTGTTTCTGGCAGATTTCAAGCGTTAGGGTTTCACACACTGTTGGAGAGGGAAAGGCAGAAAACACAATCACAGTCGTTGCTTTTGTTGCTTTTTATTCATGTGCATTCTTCTTCGGATGAAAGAATTGGGGATTTAAAAAATTAAGCCATTGATTTTATTTTGAAGATATGATGTGCGCTTAACCCATCCACATATAACACCCCCCTGAGACCAGGCAATACTGTTGTTACTTTTCTCTGAACTACTTCATAGGTTTTAATATCCTTTTTGTTAAATGGTGACCAAACGTGAATATACAGTGGTTTAAAAGAAGTTTTACTAGCGTATTGTTTGAACTCCCCAAACTTTAAATTCCACATTATTTACTACAGTATATACCCAATTCTTACATCTGAGTTTTTATTGCTTCCCACATGGTTTTGATGAGGACAGAAAAAAATCCACCCAAATCCCTCTTGTGTAATTTGCTTCCTGCAGATCAGAATCACCCATGCAGTAGATTAAATGTATCTTCCTTCTAATTGTATGAATCACTATGCACTTACTAATATTACATTTAATTTGCCAAGTGTCTGCCCAATGATATCCTTCTGTTTGCAAATCTCTTGCTGCTGTTTCGATTCGATCCCACTATTCTTTAGCAAACTAGTTAAATTTGCCGATGATAACTACAGTATACCAGAAATTAACCAGAAATGAGATAGGGGATATACAGTACTACAGATCAACAGGAATGCAAGTTCTTAAAATGGATTATGCACCGTTTTCTGACTCACATTCCTTACCACTACAACTTGATAACAGAAAATGGAGAGAAATGTTTAGTTTTTTTTGTAAGTGTGAGAAAAGCTAGCTGGGGCATCAGATTTTAAAGCATTTCATTTTAAAGCATTTAAAGTATTTGGGTTCTGAAAAAGCAACTCACTCATAAAATGTCACTAAATCTAAGGTGATATGTTTGCATATGTACAGTACCTGTACTGTATATTCCTAATTCCTAGCAATTATGTACAATCAGGTATAGTAGTAAACTGGTTACATTTGAGGGTACCTAATAGGAGGATTAAGGAGAAAGATAGTAACAAATGTTAAGGATTAAGAAACACTGTAGAAACAGCAAAAGCAAAAGAAATTCGAAAAGATTTACTTAAAAATTCAATACTAGACTGGCAGATCAAGATTAATGCAGACAAATTCAGGCTTGTGCACCAAAAACAATCTATACAAACAAACAAATCTTTTTAATTAAAAAAAGATTTACTTTGACACGTGATTTAAAGCTTCTAGACAATGAGGGAAGAAATATAAAAGGCAAACAAAATGTTGGAATATATTGTCAAAAGTACAGTATTAAAATCAAGGAATGTCCTACACTAACGAGGCTGAAGGAACGGACCATTTTTGGTCTAGAACAGAGAAGATTACAAAGGGAGCTATTTTATTTAAATTCCTCAAAGACAAACAAAGGGGACTTCTTCACAATAAACGATGAAAGATGGATCTAGGGACACAAGTGGAAACTACAAAAGCATTTAAAAAATGTATTTGTACAGGGCAGGGGTGACACCAACATTCATGTTTAAAAGAGCTTTTGTTTCAATTTCCTGCACAAAGACATTCACTCTGAAAAATAATTAAAGCAAACAAAAGTATAGCTCTTCTCTGAGTCTTATTTCTTTTTCTTTTTTTATTCTAACTGCTTCTGACTATTCAATCACAGACATCACTTTTTATAAGCACATTTAAACAAGAGCACCACATGTACTGTACCATTCTTTTTTCTAGTTCACAGTTTCTTTCACAGTTCTTAGTTGCTGGGTTTGCTTCTCCCCTACCAGAGTAATGTAACTTCTTTCTTGCCACCCTGCAGCTAGCGCCCTGACTCATATCCCCTCAGTACACGCTAAGGCTCAATTTAACACTGTGTAAGCATGTCAGTAGCACAAACATTTCTGCTTTTGGACTTCATACCAGCTTTATGAATATAGCGCTATGTGCCCTCTGTTTATAAATCATCCATTTTTACATGAAAAAAAAAGACAACTCGTAACTGGGTAGCTTTCAGATAAGATCCTCAGGATGACTCAGTTTGGATATGGCAATCTTCCCAAGAGACTGTGACTCTTCTGTGTTTCACCCCATGCTGACTTAAGACAGTCAGTAATTTACTACAGTATTGACTTCAGTATCTCTCCTGATGTTTATCCATGTACAGTATATCAGATTAAAAAGAAAACTGTGAAACAAGCTGCATTATCAATTAAAACCACCAACAAAGTAACATTCATCCTCCCTTTTTTAACAAAGAATCACTATGAATGTCCTCCTAGTTGCCAATCTTTAACAACTTCACATCCTTGACATCATAAACAACTAGATTCTCTGGCCCTAAAGTTAAGGTTAGGGGATACATAATTGTAGTAGCATTCTCCTCTGTGCCAAACAAGCAATCATCATGCCATTTTTCACAGAATGCAATCCACAGAAACTTCTTAGACCCACAAACTCTGTGTCCCATATGCCCTAGACTGAGCACTCCACTTACAATATCTAACACATTTTTGTTTTAATGTTAAGATTAGTTCTGGACAATGGGCTGCTCATATTTTAAATCCCCTTACATTTAAACATCTGCAAATCTTTTCAGTAATGTCTCAGATTCTGAAAATCAATACTAGCATGTCTACAGAGACATTTCCTGATCGTCTTAAGGATTCTACTTTCCATATCAGTAGACTATCCCTAAAGTTATACAAGCTTTGAAAGTCAGGAAATGGAGACCAGCGCCACTCATCTTGATGTCCAATGTGATGCTTATTCCGTTCAATTCAACACACAAATAGAGTTCACATGAAGCAGAAACCTGTGAGCGTACTGTGAACTTAATAAAATGTTTTTATTCAAGTGGAAAAGAGTAAATTATATTTGGAAAGAGTCCTACCAGCAAAGTTGGTGACAAGATTCTGAAAGAAGTAATTCAATGACAATGGGAGCAACAATGCAAAGCACTGTCACTACAATTATTGATGAAGGGAGAGCTGTGGGCAGCATTGTCTCTTCATAGCTTCAGGGTACTAGTCCTAAAGAGAACGTCGCAACACAATAATAGTTGTTCACAAACCTATGAACATCTGGTTCATATAATTCCTGGAACATATTGACTTTAATTTTCTTTCTGTGCCAAAAATCTCAGCAATTTGCTTGATCTATGTGTGACTTTAAGATACACCCATAAAACAGCTCAAACACTGAGATCATGCCTGGACTCTTAACATCATGTGAGGAACACCAAAATGGTATCTTTCCATCCATGTAACACTGTTCTTGTTCTGCCTAATACTGAAATATTGATACTATCAAGATTAGACTATTACAATGCTTTGCTTATCAGAATATCTCCTATGATATTCTATCCTCCTGTATGTCCAGAGTCTACAGTTTGTTCATAAAATGACTTTGCCTATTAACACATACAGTACTGTAACGCCCAAACTCTTTAAATTTCAGTGAAATTTAGATTGGACTTTATGGTCTTGTTTACTTGTCACTTATTAGGTACTGAATGGTGTAGCTCAAGGTTCCTTTAAGGACATGTTGCACAACATTGTCCATTAAGTGGAGATCTGCTGGTAAATTAGACTGTAGATGGCTAGGCTCCTGCATAATGAATTTAAGAGCCTTCTCAAATGCAGCATTTGTGGAAGTCAATTAATTAATTAGTCAATGAAATTAATTAATGTTTGTCCATCCATCCATTGTCTAATTTTTAATTCAGAGATACAGGGCAGACAGGGCACAGAGTGGGATACATCCTGGATAGGATGTCAGTCCATCATAGGGCACACACAGACATGCATATACAGTATACACACCAGGAACAATATTATCAAAAGCCTATTAACCTACCAGCATGACTTTGGGCTATAAACTAGAGCTCCCAGAGGAAACCCACACATATACTGTATATGGGGCAAACATACAGTACAACCTCCACACAGACAGCACCCCAGGAATTGAACCCAGAATGTAATTTTGTAGTTTTGGCACTGTGTTGCTTCCTTGATATTTGTAACTAAAAGGTATTAAGGTTAGCCAACAAGGTAAACTTCAACAGTATGTCTAAAATATATGTCTCTATGAATGTATAACAGAATTATCAGAAGACTCCTCACAGATCTAGGGCATTTTCTTTTTAATTGCTAGCTGACTTGGCTATCCTGCAACAACATCTGCATGGGAGAAAATGAAATAAGTAAGTATGCTCCTCTTAGGAGCACTCCTCCAGAGCCAGCAGGCATCCAGCAAATCACAGGACCCACTATTTGCCAGGAAGTTGAGAGGACCTGACCAGCTAATCACATCCATGGGAAGTAAGCATATATGCCAATTGATTTATGTGACCACATTTCAATGAAGTCCCCTTGAAGGACAGAAACAAGACCTTACTTTAGCTCTTTTCACTTCATTTGTTCTTCTTGTTTATACTGTAAGAACATTCAGACTTGCAAATGAGACAAGTAGATTTGGCCCATCTTGCTTTTTTGAGCTGCGTTTCATGAGAGACCACAGTTTGGATCTCAACCACCTGGCTGAGTACCATCTTAAGCGAGAGCATGAAATTCTTAGCTAGAATTTGATGCAGTAAACAACTCTCTTTTCAATAGATTAGAATATGAAAATACCACCAGACCTCAGTGATTCACTTTATTTTAAGCTAACCCAACCCATCTACCAGTTTTGATAAAATTACCCAATTCCGATGAAGGTCCATCTATAACACTGAATTATTATTTCCAAAAAAACACAATAATTCCTTTCTATCTTATACTATTCCTCCCCTAGACTGATTTGAGCCTCTTTCCTGATTGGTAAAAAAAAACTGTTCAATGCTACATACTGTATGTTCTCTCTTTACAGGAACCTGTTAAGGTTATTTTCAATACTGTACATACAGCAGCCCCTCTCCACCATTTTTCCATTGTTCCATAAAATCTTTAGCATTTAATTTGGTAGTTGTTGTTTCAGTGATTCCTAAT